CCCTCCCTGCCTTGCACCTCAGCTGGACAAGCATCCTCAATGATGTGTCCTTTGGTTAAGGACCAGAATTTCCTATTCCTGATGTGATGTCTCAGGTCCATCTGTTGTTTCCATGCCAAAACAAGGACTTCTTCCAAAGCAGATCATCACCTGAGATTTAGCCAGACCCCCTTTGATGGATCTTCTTAATTCCAGCTAAAAACAGATCCCTGAAATGTATAAAATTTTAATGAATTTCCGATTGTTTCTTTCTCTGTTATTGTGTGTTCAGTCATGGATGTGCAAATGCCATTTTCCATTATTGATCTTAGAACCCTGATTCAAACAAGAGATCAAATTTTGCTACTGCAGTTGTACCTAGCATTTGCTTCAACCTGTAAATGAATAGAAAATTATTACTCCCGTATTCAAATTTACAAGAATCTAGATAAAACACCATTGCTCATTTAATTAACCAACGAGAGAAATAAAATTGCAGACTGAATGTTAACCCATTAACAAAGAGTGTTGGGATATCCAGAACCCCAGTGGAGTCTTGCCATCTGGTATAGCAGGAGCCTCAAAACCAGAGTAGGGAACACTGCTAAGGAGATGATGGATGACTGGAGGAGAGGAGAATTCCATGAAAAGGTCACATCATGCTTCTATGCACCACACAGATCACATGTTACCTCCAGAATCTCTCAGAATCTTAAGGGGGTTATTAATAAATATCATGCAGGGCCCTGACAGGAAAAGGACAGGGCTGATCATTGAGAAATGGATACAGACTTTGGACCAGATGGAAGGTGCTCAGGAAGGACATTTCCAGAAATAGAGCCCATATGGTGATAAAATATAACAAGTAGAAAACAATCACCCAGCCTTCAAATATCATCTTTATGTGTTAAAATAGTTTATAGGTGAAATAAATGAAAGTAAATGAGCTGTCCCACAGAAGGGAATGTTTGTCAGATGATAACAATCCAAATCCCTAGACTTTTCTTGTGAGTGTCACATGATAGGAAATCCTAGCAAATACTGAATCCCACCCACAGTGTCTGGAACACAGTGTAATGAAAAAGGACAAGAGCAGAGAGAGCTGCAGGACCCACATTCATCTGAGAGAACTCAGTGAACCTGCAGACAGCAGCAGAGACAGAAGAGAGGACAGGACAGCCTTGAGAAACCTTCGCCTCCACCATCTCCTTCAAAATGCTCAGAGCCCCCAAGGCCTCAAGCCCATTTCTCCCTTCCCCCTTGGTGATCACTGCAAGATTTTTCTCATCTGGGTATTTGGGACATCCAGATTTGCCATGAGATGCAGCTAGAGTCACAGACCCAGAAGAACACATCTGCCAGACATGTTCTTTGAACCAACTGATCACACACTTGACAGACTCAAGGATATTTGTGTCCAGGTCTATATTAATTTCTAATGTCATGAAGAGAAAAGAACAGTATCCGGAGCCCACCAAACCAGCATTGTGTTCTTCCTGGTTAGAATGTGTCCTGTAGAGTGTGGGTCTCCTACATGCAGGTGAACTCTTTCACAAGGCAACTGCTACATCCAATTGATGACCCTGAAACCACATTACCATGGTCAGTGGGCCAAAATGCTGATACTCAGTCACCTCTTGCCCTGTGTAGGAGACACTCTATGACATGCATAAGAACAAGACAGGTCCTGGTCTATGTGGGAGAGCATAAGGGAAATTGACATTGGACCTGCCCTGCACCTCAATCAAGAGCTGCTTCCAAAAAATGGACATGTGCCTCCAGGACATGGATCCTTTCATGATGTAAAATTAGAAGCCTGTAAAGATGGCAATCCTTCGTTTATCTTTCTTCTATAGGAGCTCTGGTAGGGACAATCAGGGGAATATAGGACTCCTTCATCCACAAATGTTCTAGTTTTCTTTTGGCAACACAAGCAGGAGTCTGAGTTAGAGAAGTCATTTTCTTCACAGATGGATGATAATTTTCCAGGACCCCAGTGCACACTGTAGGAAACCCAGGTTGCAATTTAAAATATTTTACAATTTCATGTGTTTTTTTTGAATTCTCACATTGAATGGACTGCAGTTACATGAAGAAAGGCCCTGAGGACACTGGTTTTGAAACAGGAGGGCACAGAGCAGAAGAAGCTGTAGGGCCCCATAAAAGTAGCTTTCCCTTATGTCAGCCTTGTGTCCCAGAATAGATACACTTCTTCAAAAAAATGGACACTGAGACTATGTCAGGAAAGCCAGGCATAAACCCCCTGTAGAGGCCACTTCCTTCTCAAGGATGCCCTGCTAAATGACTCTGGGCTTTCTCTGGATCCCAACACTCCAATCATGGTGATTCCCTGGGAATGATGGATAGGTGACAAAAAGAGGACAGATTAGGTGGGAGCTGGACATAGTACCATCTGAGTTAGATCTAAGACATGTCAGGTATCCCATTTCAGAGTGCTCAACTTGGATAAAGGCAGCAGTACAGAGCATTTCTAGTCAGTAGGCACTAATTTTATTCTAGCTTTTTATATAACATTGTAAGTTATCATCCTGTGTTGTCTCCTACTTGTTACTCCTGAACAATTTAGGGTCCAAATGATTTGTGCACACAGGTTCTGGAGTTTGTGATTACTACAGGCTTTAATTCAATACATGCACTCAACTCCAGAGAGTAGTCAAAGAGCCTGTATTGTAGCAGCTGCCCTCTGTGCCCCTGAGGACCCTGCTGTGTACCACTGTGTGAGAGACACAGTGAGTGTGATCAGTATACACTGAGACAGAAAAACCATCTGAATACAGAATATTGAGCTTTAGTGCACTGAGGATCTATGCTGCACTGTAACACAGGCCATGATCCGTGCAGAGTTAGAATGGCAAGGGGATTCCTGATGGGACTGTAGAATTTCTGCGTGCTCATAGACACACAGACAAAGACACATACACAGACACAGACACCTAGACAGGAAGAATGACACACAGAGACACACAGGCACACTTAGTGTGCTTGGACCCTTTCTCTTTTGAAGTACCTACTTTGAGTATTATTCTATATCTTACCAATATGATTTAAGCTCTTGTGCTCTGTTTAATACTCCCACCCTGGTCTGATCTTTGGAATGTATGAGCGAAAATACAGCTCCACTAAAATATATCATTTCCAGTATCTGAATTTTTCAGATACTTTCTCACAGTGATAGTACAGTAACACAAATGCAGAATGGCAAAAATTCAGGTACCATCTCTTCTTGTAAGTACAAAAACACTCAGGAATCCAAAGTGCATTTATAACAGAATTTATTTAATTTTAAGACCAATAAAGTGCCTTTGCAAATATGGAGGTTGTAACAAAGACCATGTGCCAATTAATCTGCTGGAATTTCATAAGGAACCTGCTAGTGCCAGGTTTCCAATCTTTTCTAAGAAGTGAATTAGGGGCTCAGAAGCCTGATGCTTAGAAACAGAAATTTATGAACTTGATATTAAATACACCTATCACATTAAATCTGGTTAAATACGTGATTTTTTTTATTTAAAGAGAAAAAAAGAAAAGAAATAAAATAAAAAAAACAAAGCAGTAAAAGGGTACAAATAATACAGAATTTCAAGAAAAAAAATACAGTAAGATATCACTAGTTAATAGGTTACATATTGTCATCTTTGAAACAGTTGTCCAAATTATAAAATTAAAGCATATAAAGTGAGCATTCATACAATGAGATTGCAGACAGTGCCGATCAATGATCCAACAAAGGTTCAGTAATATGATTGGTAATTAAAAACTCAATCAGCACACTTATTAAAAAGTCTCTTATTCAAGAGGCATTGTTATTATGTAGAGAGCAAGATTATTATAAATAACCATTCCAGTGATCATTGCACAGAAAATTATTGAACTTGTTAATTTGGTAAAAACTGAGCCCTGGGACTAAAAGGACAAGGAATGTCACTGTGTACAAAAACAGGAATTAAGGAGAGATATTTTACTTATTTCACTAGAACGTAAAAAAGAAAAAAGTTTTTGGCTGCTCAATAAGTGAAATCCATAAAAAAAAGTCAAATGATTTTCTACCTGACCTACTTACTGGTAGAGGTGCATACTCTACCACTGTCCTTTAGTAAATGAGTGAATGTAACATTCATAAAAATAATGACTTAGAGATAGCAAGATTGAAAGGGAAAGTAAAACCACTTCATTTGGAAGAAGGAAAAGAAATGAAGATCAGACAGCTACCTTCAAGAAGGTAGTAGCTGGTCTTTGTTCCTGGCTGCATTGCTTCAAGAGGCAAACATGCCCTTTCCCTGGAAATTGTGCCAGGCCCTGGGATCCCAACTCAGGTACCATTGCCAGCCTGGAAATTCCTACTTCAGCTTCATTACATTTTCTTTCATGCTGTCTGTGTTTTAGATCTAAAATTGATGGCTTGGTTAAAACCAACCTTAGATATGAAGTCAAGTCAACAATTAGGTGACAGGATAATGCTCTAATTTAATGACCTTAGAGTGGAGTATATTCATACATTCCAAAAATGTTTTCACTTCCAGTCTAAAGTGTTTCTGTATCCCACACTTGATATCAGAAAGTGATCAAGTGGATCAAGTACAGGACTCTGTTTCAGCAATTTTTGTGAACTTCATACTTGGCTAGGTGTATCTTCAAAATTTAGGTATTAGTTATGACACAGGATACAGTATGAAGCTTTTCTGAAACAGCTGGCCTGTTGGATTTTCCTTCTTCTTTACTTTTCCTAGAATTCTGTTAATATTTTTGTGTAGGTTCTTCAATGTAATGGATTTCTCTTGCTAATTGCATATTAAATAGTTCAATGAAAATGATCAGACTGAGAGAGTCCCTGTGAAAATCAGAGCAATAAAGCTTATGGCCTCATTCCTAACACTAGCCCCTACCCATTCCAGTTTTTCCTGGTCTGACCTGGGCAAGTAATCTTCTCTCCTCAAGGACTTGGTTTTTCCAGAGGACATTTACCTGGGAATATTTATGACCCAGCTTCAGGAAAGTGTGCTGAGCCCTTTCGGAAACCAGGAGAGCTCTGAAAAGCTGGTAGTACAGCCTTTAAAGGAAGTATTAGTCCTGCGGTTGCCAGTGACATCACAGGAGAGAGATGGGCCCAGGAGCCAATCATTGATAAAGTTGGGGCTGGCTGCTCACCCAATCAAGTGGCCCAAGGGAGGAGGGCTCTTCCCAGTCCTGTTGCAGAAGTGCTTACTTAGAGTTTGGTGATGAGATCCTGGAGCTGAGCTTACATCTCTTGTTCCTGTGACTTCTTACTGAGGGTTGCAAAAGATCCTTGGAAATCCTCAAGCATCACAATGGTAACTTATTGGTACTGGAGCTTGGAATGGGATGGAATTGTGTGAGTTTTGGAAGGAAATAGGCAGAAATATTGCAAGCTTAGAGCATCATTTAGGGCAGCCCCAGGTACAGCTGTTTTTGAAGAGTGAAGTAGTTTGGGGCAATCCTGAGTTCTCTTCTCAGAATAAGGAAAAACTGTCATCTGAATTCCTTCTCTGAGAACTCTACTTGAAATGATATTACCACATAGTCAGAACACACAGTATCACCACACTGACTGTCAAGTTCTGGAACCAAAATGAGAAATGAGAATAGCTCCTTGACTTCAGGAATGTTTCTCATGGGGGTAATCAGCTGGCCAGCTACACATGGCTCTGTGGATTTAAAATCAATCTCCACCTACCTATATGTGTATCTTTCTTTACATTTCTCCTTTCTTTTCTGTTTTATTTTTTATTGTTTGGATACAGAGCATATCTATGTAGTCAGGCCTGACCTTGAGCTCTGGGTCATGCTCCTCCATCAGCCTCCAATGTAAGGAAATTATAGTCCTGAGTCGCCGCATCCAGAAAAAAGAATCACTTTGAGACCAGGTTCTCTAACCCATTTCTTCAGCCTGTGGGGTCTACAGGAAACAGGGTTTAGAAATAAACTGGCTATTTGTATTTACTTTTCTGTTATCTCAGGAATTTAGTAATTAGCAGCTGCACATCCGCTGCTAGTAGAATGGAATCTGCATTTTATTGTGGGGGAGAAAATTCACTGCTGATTCAAAGCCCTAGGTCATGGTCTAGTTTTGTTTTAATTCTTATCAAAGCTACTAATTTGGCAAATTTATCTCTGGCCCTTTCCTTACCTAGTGTCTATTTTTTAAGTTAAGTAACGAAAACATTTTACATTTAACTACTGAAGCAAAGATTTTCAGAGTTTAGAATGCTGTGAAGTATTTGTGGGGTGCTCCTGAGGGGAAAGTTCCTGCAGAGAACAACTTCCTGTAGGTGGTGCATGTTAATCCCACCCTGAGAAACTCTGCAACCTGTTGTTTACCAGGATGTAGAAATGTGATAAATATGAGAATGAAAATGGAAATGTGTCCCTTCTGAAAGAATGGCTGTAGCCTTAGGACTGTGCTTAGAAATTGGCCTGAAATTTGAAACATGTTTGGGATGTGGCATATTCCCTTAATCCCAGTATTCAGGAGGTGGAACAGGAGGATCCTTGCAATTTTAAGCAAGTCTGGTCTTTAAAGTGAGCTCAGGGCCATAGTGTACTGCATTGTGAGACCCTGTCTCAATAAGAAAATTTGCAAGCTGAGATGAGCTTTTTGCTGAAGTAGAAGTATATTTAGAGTCAGGATCTGCATGAGTATTCAAGATTAAGAACAAAAGGCTTTTTTGAATGAAAAGGAGCAAAGATGATTGAAAGGAAATGGGGGAGCCTGGGCATGTTGAGGGAGGCCCAATCAGAAGCCAGAACAGTGAAGGATTCCTTAGATGAGCTTGAGCTTGTGTGACTGCCCTAAAGGAAAGTCTACTTGCTAGGACTAAGAGTAGGAAAAGAGTCACAGGCATATAGAAAAAAGGGAATCTTTGTCATGGACAAATACTGCTACTGGTCTACTGATCAGTTTGCATAATCATCTTGATGTAAATAGGAAATTAATACACTAGTATTGGAGGTTTGAAAATATGTTAGACATCCTAGCTAAAGTAGCATGGGAAAGTTTTTCTGTTGGACACCGTACATTTTAAGGCATAGATGGTGTTTCTTATTGTCCAATGACTGACCTCAGAAATTTGGCCGCTACTTTCAACCTCCCAAATTTGAAAAAATATTTTAATTAAACAAAATTTTTGTTGCAGTTGGAGAAGTGGTCTTACTACTTTGCCTGAGGTGGCAAGAAGTGTTTAGACTTTTCCAGCACTTTGACTGTTGAGCTTGATATAGGAGAATGAAACTATCAACCTACTATATTTCCAGTATAGCTCTTGTTCTCAGAATTTTAAGAATGAATTTTATAAACAATGGGATTAAAAGCAAAAATATTTATTGAGAGAAAGAAAGCCTCTGTCTGAGAGAGAGAAGGGCTGCTAAGAAGGTTGCCAAAGAATGTACCTTGTAGACATTTTTATAGAGTAAAACCATGAGGTGAGGCCAGTCTAAAGAGGGAAAAATGAGAAATCACAAGGCAGGCAGGCATAAGGGGTGAAAGAGATATGGTCAGCCAATAAGTTTAATTTTTCAGATAAAGTTGACTAAATCAGGGACAAATGGGGAAACCAGTCACTTGGCAAGCAAGCATTCTTTATGAATCAGTGACTCTTCCTGTAGGAGTTTGGAATGGTGATTCCTTGCTTCTCAATCCATACCTAATTCCTAAGGATTATACTTAAGGGTGTGGCTGCATTTCCTTTACTTCTATTTTGAGATCTGACCCAGAGTAAGAGGTGTGTGGCTTCTCCAAAGTCTCTAGAAATCTGGTCCTCTATGCCAGCTAATTTGAGTGCCTAGCTCTGTCTGACTGCCTGTAATAATTGTAACTAGCTCAGCTGCCTGTAACATGTTGACAGACATGTGCTACCTTGTTAGATATATTGTTGTGCCTCTACTTTGGTGTAGAGCACTGGGTCTACTTCTGTGGTTCACACTGTCCTAAACTCTCAGAGTCTCATGCATCATCTTCTGTAGTTCTGAGGTTTCAGGCATGCACTACTATGCCTGGATTAGTGTTTTAATTTTTATGTCATCACATTTCACTAAGGTTTCAGTGTTGGGGTAAAGTGAACAACACTGTGTCATGGAGGCTTACAGATATAATACCAGCCACTTGGGAGAGTTACAGTGATTATAAACCAAGGCCACCCTGGATAAGTGATCGAGAATTTTTTCCATAAGAGATGTACATTGTTGTTTTATGTCCACACCAGATTATCTTTTCTACAGTCCATGTGGGCCTTAGATATTGAAGAGAAAATGTTTGTGGATTAAACTTATATTGAACTTTTATGTTGATGCATAGTTTCTCCTATTGATACATGGCACAATGCAAAGCTTACCTGCTCATGTCAGGGGACATCCAGATAACTGTGTGGTCTCCACAAAAGGACACCATGGGAGAACAATGAATGATTCAAAGTGTGCTGCATTCAGTAAGGTACATATGATATTTAGTGTTGTGTTATAAATTTGTATTTCTTTTATATCTGAAATAAAGATCAAGGCATTCATTTTCTGCATGTTGAAAAAAATCTGATGTTTAGTGATGCTGTTTGGCATTTCACGTTTGTTCTTGTGCTTATTCAATGTATTTTGTCATCAGTTACATTTAGGTTGATATAGTCATTTTCCAGTTGAGACTCAAATATCACTTTTATGTCATTCCTTCCAAGTATTCATATTGTCCTCTGTACATGTGTATATATTGTCTTTATATTGTCCTCTGTCCCACTTGCTTCCAATTTGGAGAGCTGTATTCATCTGTTTCTCCTGAAAAGCTCTATGAGGAGAGCAGTGCAATGCTTTTTGTCAATGCATACACTACTGTGGGTGTTTTGTGTCTTTTTCCCCTGGATTTTTATTATTATTATTCTATGGAGGTAGTACAATCTGGTCATATTTCTTGACATGTATCCCCTGTCAAGAAGATTAAATGGAAATTTTAAATTGGCACAACTGAGCTGATGGTTAGACATTAGGGTTAGGTTAGACATAACAAGTATTTCTGTATTATATCTTTTAATGACATCTCTGTAACAAAGCTTCAGGTTTATAATTTCAGTTCAGCAGTGTTATTCAGCCTCCAAAGGATTCAAACTTCTGGCAGTTTTAGCTTTTTAAAGGGAGAGGAGTTTCTAAGGATCCTAGGACTTACTAGAGTACAGATTACATACATAGTTGTGTGAACACACAGAAAGAGTTCCAAATGGTGAATGGCGCATAAAAATTACTAGGCAGGGCACCTAGGCCTATACCCAAGTAGAGTGGAGAAGGAGATTATGCACAGGAAACATGGACAATTCACATTGGATATTTTGTAATTAGTTTTCCCATTAAAAAATGAAATTTGGGATTATTTGATTTTTTCATGATACAAATTATTGCTTTAATTCCATGAGTATGATGTAGTACACTTGAATATGACAAGGAAGATTATGTCTCATGTACAGATAATTTTGTGAATCTTTTCCTTCTGAGGAAATGACTCTGGTAGCTGTAGGATTTTTTTTTTTTTTGGTAAAATGTATTCTTTTTCTCCTGTGAAGTTTTAAGGGAATCAGAAAATAATTACTACATATGAAGAATATCTGTGAAGGGAATTCTTAGCCAATAAAGATTAATGATTTGTGATGACTATTTGGGGTGCATCTCATAATGTGTATGAATATCCCATTCCATTTTTAAAGCTATGAACTTCTTTGTGCATAACTGGTTTATATAACATGGGAAATAACTCACTTTGTATGTGCTTGAAAACCACCAGTATGTCCTGGGTATGATATTAAAGGGAAAATAAGTCTCTTATTTTTTGAGCTTGAGCACAGATGTTTGCCATTGCCTTAGGACATTGGCCTCAGGTTTGCTCATGTTCTCAAAATAAAATCTTCAACCTGCCAGTGGGGATTCTTCAGCAGAGACCGAGGTTGGGAAGCAGGGGCCATGAACCAGATGTAATCTCATAGATCATGATTCCTCACCATATGAAACTATATCCAGACATGTCTTTTCTAATATCCTTGGAGTCATCAAACTTACAAAACATGACAGTAGAAATCTAAGCATCAGGAGTTTCAAGTTGAGTACATTACTTTAGAAAAATTACTAAGCCACAAGAAATTAACTTTCAACCATTGAGAAAGAAAGGGATATTATGGTAAATTTACTATGCTATGTTCTTGCCTCATAACAAGGAAAGAATTGAGGGTGAGGCTATGTGTAGCTCTCATTATGCTTCCTGCTAGGGTTAGTTTTCATAAGTCTGGAATCCCTTGTGATGGAGGGTAAAGTCAGGTGACATTGATCGATATTTTATCACAGCCATAGGAAGTGGCAGAGACATCTAACTATGCTAAATAAAATGAAAGTTAAAATATGAAATCTTAAAATACAGATTGTGTCCTACACATTAAGCTTCATTGGAATGATGGTTATTTCCAGAACTAATGAACACACCCTCAGAATTAAAAGTCATTTTAGGATGTTTAAAAATCACATAATGATTTTTTATAAAGTTTAACATAATCAAATTTTAACATACATTTTAGTGTTGGTTATTATGAAAGTAATTGTTAGGACCCTTGCCAGGCCTGTGTAAACTACTCTCTTATTTCTAGAGTAATGTGATAAATGAGTAAACTATTGAACACATTAGCTTCTACAGTTCATAGTGCTAAAAGCTGGATGTATGATAAGAATTTAAATAATGGAATGTTAAATAATGCTGAAAAGCACTAGTTGCAAAGGGGTTTAAACTTGTGCCTGTTAAACCCACATATTGATCTCTTTGAAGTAGGGAATTTACATGTACATGCAATTTTTTTAAACTGAGAATCAAACTCAAAATCTCACATTGCAAGGCAGGTACTGTGCTGTTGAGCTATATCCCTGGCCTTGTAAAATAATTTTTTGCTCTGAGTGCAGAGGGGAGAAGCACCATTGATCATGTAATTATTATAATCCATTGATAGTTACTGGACTTTGTTTAAAAAGTCATGCTAAGTGATGCACTTTGTGCTTTTTATAGCAGTTTCATAAATGGTTTTCACATTTTTGAAATTATGTCAATGTGAATTGTACTTGGTACAATACTCATAATTTGCAATCCACTTGTTTATATCTGATACATATTTACATGGCACACAAAAGTAACTAATACAAAAAGAATAGTGTGTATTCTCAGGCATCATAGCACAAAGTGTTTTCTAGACTTTAGAAAAAAGTCTGTGGAATTTCATAACCTTATAAGTAAAGGAGTTTGTGGAATTCAGGAGCTGAGTGTTGAGTTAATGAATTATTTTGTTCTCCCACACTTCAATACTGTTTGGTGATTTTTACAATGAGATTTACATTTTTTTCTATTCACTATTTCTCCTGAGTCAAATAACTTTTTGATATTTATAGACTTGTCCTCACTGATCTTAACTCTATAAGTAAAATTTTTGTATTATGTTCCCAATCAGTGTTTTCTTGACTAATTCCCATCTTCATAGATTTCAATTTCTTTTCATTTTCTTTGCTGCTTGATTTTCTTCTGAGGAAACTGTGTCATTAACTGAGTGTTTTTTAGTATAAATTATACAATCATTCCTTTTTATCTATCCCATTTCAGTGTTCTCCAATGCACATATGAAGGAGAGTGTACAGTCTAGATGTATAAGGATATGCCTGTCTGTCTCTGAATGTAAATGAAACACATTGTGCTTTATTCCTGAGACACATAGCATTGGCTCAATCATGAAACAATGTTCTACTTGAAGGTTCTCTTCCTTTCCTGCAACCCATTTGTCATTCTCTGTGAATCTTTCACTGATGTTAATGTTGAAATTTGAACATTTTCCATATTTATAATGCAAAATATATCCTTGCTTGCAAGTATTGAAATTTTATAGGCTTTTTTTGTAACTTTCACCTATCATCAAAGGTACATTTAGTTTGTTTCTTTTTGGTGTTAGAAATTGATCTCAGGACCTTACATGTGTCAGCCAGATGTTCGTACCACCAAGATATAGTCCTGGTACAAAGATGTAATTGGTAAATTGCTATAAATTAATTTTAATGTTCATTCAGTGAAGGAGTTTGATGAATGGCCTCACTTTGAACTGGCCTTATTGCATAGACCAGCCTGGACACTGTGCACAGGGCAATCCTGAAATTCCTTGTAATCCTCTTATATCAGCCTCTCAAGTGCTGGGGTAACAGACTCGTACTACAAAAATGGGCTGAATCTCTACCTTTTGTATTTAGTAACCAGTTACCTTGTTATACCTCAATTTTCATTGCATTTCAATATATATGAAATATATATTCTTTTCCACATTAACTTTTTTTACTCCCTAATAGAACTTCTAGTATTCAAGTAAAAAGATACAATTTGGTATCTGTGAACTATAGGTTTATAATTACAATTTATAAATTCCTTGTCCATAGAATGCTCAAATAAACCTTAATTTTCATTTATATTTTAGTAATTCATAACTCTCCTTTTATATTGTACTAAATATTTATGTGTGAAACCAGTTTCAAGATTCTAAATGCTGTATGCAAGAAAAATGAACACATTGCTATGAATAACCAGATGTTTGTGAGTGGCGATTTGCAGGCTTCCTCTTTGAGCTCTCCTTTAAAGCAATAGAAAAGTATAGTATAGGAGGTCCTGCAGGACAATCCATGCTACAGTTCTGTGATCATTTTGACAGGGTTTAATAGTCTAGCATGAATTTAACTGAGTGACTATATTTGGATGTACTTGAGGATTGATGATGGTGACATGCAGTTACTACATAATGAACTTCAGTTAGACTGTTTATGACAGGAGCTGTGAAATAGCAGGTTGAGTGTGTCTGAACTTCAGGGCAATTTGTCATTATTTAGGAGACAGTGACTTTTGAAGATGTAGCTCTGAACTTCACCCCAGAAGAGTGGGATTTGCTGAATGAATCCCAAAAGAATCTCTACAGAGATGTGATGTGGGAAATATCTATGAATATTAATGCTACAGGTAAGGATGATATTTTTGTTTATTTATATAAGCAGAAATAATTATTTCTCAGTAATATAGTTTTATATAATTGATAATTATAACATTTGCTTGTAATCTTTCTATCTTTATAATTATATCATTTGCTTGTAATCTTTATATAAGCAATTATAACATTTGCTTATAACATTTGCTGGAATCAGTCATGTTTTAATGTAAATTTATAGTGAATTTTGTAAAATGTCTGTCTGTAATACAGGAAGAATATGGTGGCCAACAAATTAAAGAAGAGGACAAAAATGGCTCAAGAAATCTAAGCTGATCGACACACAAAAGAGAAAGGGAACATTCCTTAAGTTCAGTGTTTGAGCAAACTACTACAACAAAGGTACTGGAAGCAATGAGATCATGTTACACGTTATTTAACCTACGAAAAATATCAAAAGAAAAACTTGATTTTATTTTGTATTATCTAGGAATCCATAGAAGAGTATTTGAATGTAGGAATCAGACATAGTGCTGATAGTATGTAATAAATGACACTGTATAATATATCAGTTTGAAAATTGCCTCCACAATCAATATCATGAAACTGTATGGGAGTAAAATTAAATATTGTATTCTGATATGTAGGAAATAAACAAATTTTGAATTTTGTTTGAAACTCATCTTCAAATTATCCATTTATGTATATATGTGAATACTGAGACTTTCATGATCTAAAAATTTTTTACATAAAATCAGGATGTAAAATGCAAATGAATGCTACTGTTATAACAAGTATTTTGAAAATATCCTGTAGAATGTTGAGCTGTGCATGTTAAAGATTTCTCATACATTGTTCATGGCTACATAAAATAAAATAGAATAGTAATCAATATTTCAGGTGTCTGGAAAGTACAATAATGTTTCATATTACTCCACATGTACATCCATCCATATATACATTTTTACTTTTAATCCATGATTTTAGACTGTAGTTCAGGTTGATCTTGAACTTACTGTGTAGCCTATACAAACCTGAAACTCAGAGTGATCCTCATGCTTTTATCTCCTGACTGTTGAGAGGATTGTACTGTGTCATTATGTGCAGTGATTCAGTATATTGTGAAATACATTAAAATCATCAAACATTAGTGGTCAATCCAGTGTTTTGTTCAATGCAGCATATGAGAGGGCATTTAGAGTATCTAATATGAGAATCGACTCACAGTAACTGAGCTCTGTGAAGATCCCAGATGCCCATCACTAGATGCCTGCATAAAGAAAATGTAGGGTCAGCTCACCATGGTGATGCATTCTTGCAGTCCCAGTATTCTGAGAGCCTGAATCATCAGGATGACAACTTGAAATTCAGCCCAAGCAAGTTCCTGATCAATGAGAATCTCTATCTAAAAACCAAATATTAGATCAGCAAATGTAATTCCCTAGAAGACCTGTGTTTAACCCTCTACACTGAAAAAAAATATGTTATACAAGGAAGATGTCATTTTTCAAGAAACAAAAGGAGTTAGACCTTAAGTGAAATAAGTCAGACAAAGAAATGAAAATATCACAAATTTTCTCTTAAATGGAAATTAAAGCATATTTGATGAGAAAAAGGAAATAGAGATAACACAAGACCAGACATCTGTACATTCTATAGATGAGAAAGATGATCTGCTAAATAGACAAGGGGGAGAATGAAGACCCAAAGAGCTAAAAAAGTGATCAATATTTGATAGTCATTTCTACCAATCTCCTAAAACAATATTATGTAGTGGAATCATACACTAAATGAAAATTTCAAAATGAAAACCATCCTCTTTAGAATGAATATTACTTTGTAAGAAGTCCTGCAGGGCAGTGAGTCAGTTAACCAGCAGAATTACTTAGCAGGCATCAAAAGAAACTTGTCATCATAAATCTGAATTGTTAATGTAGAGCTTCTTTCATTGTGATTGATATCTTTCTTCGTATTTATTTACAGATGTGATGAAGACAATTATTTGAGAATTGAAGAGCAGCAATATAAATGTAATGAAGATGTAGAGACCTGCAGTGATTTCCAGTCCTTTCAGAAGCATGAAATGAGAAAGACTGGAGAGAAACTCTGTCAATATGGGCAATGTGGGGAGGACAGCTCTGATCTTAGGGAATAAACTCACCCTGAGAAGAAAATATTTTCAGGTAAGAAAAGTGTCAAAACCTACACAAAACCTAACAGTGTTCAAAATCATGGGAGATATCACAGTTCAGGGAGCTCATATGTACAAAAATAGTAAGAGAATAATTTCATGCCTTCATACTATATTGAAAAAATGTTACAAAATATGTTGGAGAGAAAAACCATATAACTGAGAAATGTGCAAATGCATTATCTTGCAGCAATTCCTTTAAAAACCATAAAAAACATCACACTGGAAAGCAAACATGTGAACACAAGCAATTCATTCAGTACATGCAGTAGCTGTCAAAGACATAAAAGAATTCAAACTGGTGAGAAACTATATATAAGCAAAAAAAAGTGGAACAGCATTCATGAGAACCTCAGAATGTAAAATATGATAGAACTCATACTGGGGAGAAATCATTTGTATGTAAGCAATGTGGGAAATCTTTCAGTCAAAATGGTAATCTTATTGTACATGAAACAATTCACACTGGGGAGAAACCCTATGTATGCAACAAATGTGGGAAAACATTTAGTAGAGCCTCTGATTTGTAAAGTACATAATAGTATTCACTCTGAGAAGAAGCCATATGTATCTAAGCGGTGTGGAAAATCTTTTAGACACAGAAGATTCTTAAGTAGACATAAAAGATTTCACAGTGTGGAGAAAACCTTGATATGCAAACAATGTGGGAAATCTTTCAGTCAAAATTGTAACTTTCTTATACATGGAAGAAGTCACACTGGGTAGAAACCCTATGTATGTGAGGAGTGTGAAATATTTCAGTCAAAATGGTAACCTTATACATGAAAAAGTTCACTCAGGAGAAACCCTATTTCTGCAACAAATGAGGCAAAGCATTCAGTACAACTTATTGTTTTAAAGCTCATGATAGAATTCACACTGTGGAGAAGCCATATGTATGTAAGCAGTGTGGCATATCTTTCTGTCAAAATGGTACCCTTACTCATGAAAGAACTCAGACTGGGTAGAACCACAATGGATACAAACAATGTGGCAAAGAATTCAGTATGCAGAGGTGCTGAAAACTTTATTTACATAAGCATTTTTGGATGTCTTTCAGCTTTAGTAGTAGCTTTTGTATATATAAAAGAATTCACTCTGTAAAAAAAACAGTATCTATATGATGAATGAATAAATGGATGTGTTGATAAATTCTCACTTCATTAACATAAAAGATCCTTCTGGGAAGAAATCCTATGAATGGAAGTAATATAGGAAAACCAGAGCTATTGTCACTACATAAAAGAACTTCCTCTGTGTGGTAATTCTATACTTTTGAACAGTGGTAGAAAGCCTTCAGTGCACAAAAATTTCATCAAATAGAGGAAGTAGGCCCACAAGGTAAAACCCATATGTATCTAGGCAGTGTAGAAAAGATTTGCAACTGTGTTTCCTTTTGCAAACATAAGATTCCCCTCACACTGGGGAGTAACTACATGTGATAAATATTTGGTAAAAGTTCAGCTGACAGAGGAGCTAACCTTCTAAATGATATCATATTGTGTCCAAGGTCTATACATTCAATGTGGAAAGAATTCAGTGTTCATGGTTATTGTCATATGTGTGAAAATAATAATAGTTAAGTGAAATCATACATATGTAATAACTATTTTGATAATACTTTGAAAATTGCTCATGTAAAGGAGACCTGTTAAAATAATATAAAATTATTGCTGTCAGTATATATGCATAGATTTTTTTGAAAACGCCCTCAAACATAGCATTGTCCTAAAATGTTCTTATTTCTTGTTTTATAAATCACACTTAAATATCTTTAATAAATCACATTTCTTTAGTCTTAATGAAAAATCACAGTTTTAATGAAAATTTAAATATGTTGAATATTTTTTTACCATGTTTTTGATTCATCAATGTCTTATCTAGATGGATATCACCGACTTATCTCATGACCATTTTTCCCACCATGATCTATAACTCCTATATCAGTTTATCAAGAAGGATCTATATGTGTGTATTCAGAAGTGTGCTTATATTTATAGCCTGTATCTATGTATTCATGCTTATGGTAAGATATACCATCACAAATGCAAAAGCAGAACCAGTCACTGACAGAAACAAGAATGAGTTTAAATTAGGGAAAATATTTTGTACTCAAGAAATTTAGAAAAACATTCAGTACATAAACATGTTATAAAATACCTGTCTGAACTCATACTAAGGAGAAACTCAATGTTGGTGAACATTGTGGAAAACCTTCCGGTCAGTATTGTTACCTTGTCCATAAAATTGTTCACAGTTAGGAGAAACCTTATGGAAGACATTTGTGAAAGGTTCTGCTGATCATCCAAATTTTCTACACCTAGAAATCCCACACAAGGAGAAATCTTCTGTATGTGAGCAATGTGGGAAATCTACCAGCCAAAGCCATAGCTTGCAAACGCATCAAAGAATTCACAGTGGGAAAACTATGTAGGTAAGCAATTTAGGAAAGCATTAAGTTCACACAGTCACTGACAAAAACAAGAAAGAACACACAATGGGGAGAATGTGTGCATGTAAGCAATGCAGCAAATGTTCCCAGCTCCAGTGATTGTAATGACATGAAAAAATTCACACAGGGAAGCAACTCCATGCATTCCAAAAATGAAGAAAAGCATTCAATGCAAAATAATGTCAACAATTAAGGAAATAATACACACAGTTGAGAAACCCCCTTCATACAGTCAGTGTAAGAAGGATTTCTTGAAGATTTTTTCATTTTATAAATACTAAATTTCCCACATATTGTAGAGTAACTTATGAAAAACATGTATTAAAAAAAAATTCCACTGATAGCCGGGGATTTAGCTCAACAGCATAAACACCTGCCTGGCAAGTGAGAGGTCCTGAGTTCAATCCCCAGTACCAAAAAAAAAAAATCTGTTGATAGATGCTAACCTCTAAAAGGAAGTCCTATTGTGGCCACAGCCTATGTATGTGAGGTGAGCAAGTCCTTTGTAAACATGGGTATGGTGAAGTGTGTGAAAGCCAGGACTATGCAGCAAAATTGCACTTATGTAAGTGACTATTTTGAAAATACTTTGTAAATTATTCATGTTGAAACCTGTAGAAATACCATAGAAAATTGATTTCAATACATATTCGTAGATATTCCAGAGATCACACTTGAAAATGGAGATATCCCAAATCATATTTAATTTGTGTTTCAGTGTCACACATAAGAAGCTGATCTATTTGTCTGTAGTGTTACTTTTTTAAAACATCACACTTTTTAAAGATATTTCAAGGATTCTGAAATATTTCCCCACATTTTAGATTCATTGATACTGTCTTCATAGATGACACCTATTTTCCACAAAAGCATTCTTTTCCACTTGGATCTGTCTCTATTTTTTCTAGAACGATCATTCAGAAGTGTCCTTCACCAGTTTTTATGACATGCATCTATGTAGGTGTGCTTATGATAAGATAATTACAAGAGCAAATTTAAAATATGTATAATTGCATTAGCTCCTGTTTCTAGCACATAATGCAAGTGTTCATCTTTGGAAGGCATCTATGTGTATAATGGGTCTGAGTTCTTTATTGTTGCCTTAACATCTTCTATTTATATTTTTCCTCTATTTCTTGCTTCTCTCCATTCCTGAAAGATGTATAATCCTACTGCCTATCACACATCATGTACTTTTTTTTTCCTTTGGTACCAAAGATTGAACTGACAACTGCAAGCTTGCAAGGCAGACACTTCTGCCACTTTGGTAAATCTCCAGCCCCTATATTGTGTACTTTTATACAAATGTAAACACCATTCCTCTTATATTAAGTCAGTCATTTGTAAACAGCAGAATAGTGAATATTCAAGTGAATTGTGATGTCATACAATTCCTAAGGTTCAAGGATAATTCCGGAATATGATTGCCAGAATAGAAATAGTGAATGATGGAAATGATGTCACTTTGTGACAACAGAAAAACAGAGTCAGCAGTGCGCAATGAATAAGGTGATTCTCACATTGTAACATTAGATTTTTTTTGTCTGAAATGGTCTTGCTATGAAGTTCAGGTGGGCCTTGGGCTCACTTTAGTCCAGGCTGGTCTTGGGCTCACTTTGTAGTTCAGGCTGGCCTTGGGATCAATTTTTAGTCCAAGCTGAATTGAACTTGCAGCAATACTTCTGCCTTAGCCTTCTGAGCCCTGGGATTACAGGCATGCACACCCATGCCCAGGTTTTAGCATTAAGTTTACCTAGCAAAAAAATTCAGGCAAGGAATTTCATACACCACTTTTGCCCTTCTATGTCCAGTATTTGGTGCATGGCACTGTTAACTCTCATAGTCTCCATTTAGGCGCATGTTCCACAGTGGCATTTTGGCAGCATTTTATGATATTAAAATATAATTCAGAAATAAATGTTGACCAAGTCTTAATTATGTTCCATTCTCTGTAGCATTCATGAATTTAATGTCACTTGGATTCATCATGGATCTCAGTTTCCTTCATCAGAGGGCTATCATATGATGTGACAACCTGACAAGAAGGTTAAGTGCAAGGAAGGATGAGAAATGAAGAGAGACAAGAGGTTCACAAGATCCTGATTTTACCGTGGTTATTATTCAAATGTCTGTAATTAGTAGCACTGTTAGTAAACACATTCATAAACAGTTAAGTGTATTCCAAAATCATAAATATATATTAAATGTAATGTGTATAAGTTTCACTGTGTGTAAAATATTACTCTCTAATATAGGAAAAATACATTGAGGCAGTTATTTCTACACACTTGATTCCGAGGTAGAATATTGCTGGTAAATTCTACAATGTAATTCCTAATTTTACTCCCTTATCTTATTGTTTTATCATTTTTAAAAATAAAATGGTTCAGACATAGGCAAGGTTGTGATTTCATGTTATTTAAGCAGTCCAGGAACCTGAGGCAAGATGATTTCAACTTTTCAATTTAAGCCCAGGCTTGGCAACTTGGAAACATAGAGAAAACCTGTCTGCAAATACAAAATGGTACTGTGGAGATAGCTCAGTATAAATATGCTGAATTCCAATCTCAGTCCTGAAAACTTAAATCAGACCTTGTTTCCTGATAATGCAGTAAAACCATTGGCCTCATCTCAAACTCTGAGAAGACCTGGCCTGTTCTCACCCATCCCTCCTCAGAGTTTAGGAATCATGTCCAGAGTACATAGCCTCAAATCACGGAGTACATTTCCACTCTACTAATGGACATAGGAGTAAATTTGCAAAAAATACAGGTAATCAATCCCTGTTCTCTAAAGACAAGAGCAACCTCATTTTAAGTGCAGTAATGCCCTTGAGAATTTCAGCAGCCCATATGTAAAACAAAAATGGCATGTATCAACTTGTTCATCAGTTCAGATTTTAGATCACTTTCCTTTTCCCTTCAGTCTCAAATATTTGGTCTTTCATTACCAGCTATTGGGTGATGCAGGAAGGCTGTGTGCATTGTGATCTGGAAAGAGGCATAGGGAGATCAGGACATTTAATTATATGGGGTCCTCTTTTATATTTTTGCTGCCATATTTTGGACTGAGAGTCTCCTGCTGATGAAGGCCCCTAGAATTTGGGCCTGGTTGCTGGATGACTTCTGCAGACAGCAGGAATCTATGCACAAGGAAACATCCTAGAGGCTAGGAAGTTAAGTTTGGTGCCAGGGGCTCTGAGCTGGATACAAATGGACTAGATGTTATCTATTGAAGTTGGAGTCTTCCCATGAAACTTGTGAAGTCTGTGACATGACTTCGGTACTGGCTTCAACCTGATCCCTTCAGGCCTGTGGCATGAGGCTTGACTGGCAGTGGGGACCCCAGTGCCCTGTCCTGTTCCTGATTCAAATTCAGCAACATGCAAAGTGGAACACATTCCACAAAGTCTCCTTCAGCTCTGTGTCTTGACACTATATGGTGACTTCATTTGTGCATGTGGAGTCTACAGGTTCATCTGCAGTTTCGACATAGAAACATATTTTTTTCTCCATCCCCAGTCAGTTTTTTATCTCAAAAGTCAGTCCTGATTTCCCTGCATTAACTGAATGTTTTGGCAGCAAAGAGTCCAGTTCACGGAGT